GTAGAATCTGAGAGTAGTTGATGATATATGGGAGAGTAACTGGTGATACCTGGGAGAATCTGAGAGTAACTGATGATGCCTGGGAGAATCTGAGAGTAACTAGTGATACCTGGGAGAATCTGAGAGTAACTGATGATACCTGGGAGAATCTGAGAGTAACTAGTGATACCTGGGAGAATCTGAGAGTAACTGGTGATACCTGAGAGAATCTGAGAGTAACTGGTGATACCTGGGAGAATCTGAGAGTAACTGGTGATACCTGGGAGAATCTGAGAGTAACTGGTGATACCTGGGAGAATCTGAAAGTAACTGATGATACATGAGAGAATCTGAGAGTAACTGTGATACCTGAGAGAATCTGAGAGTAACTGATGATACCTGAGAGAATCTGAGAGTAACTGATGATACCCGGGAGAATCTGAGGGTAACTGATGGTACCTGGGAGAATCTGAGGGTAACTGGTGATAGCTGGGAGAATCTGAGAGTAACTGGTGATGCTGAGAGAATCTGAGAGTAACTGATGGTACCTGGGAGAATCTGAGGGTAACTGATTGTACCTGGGAGAATCTGAGAGTAACTGGTGATACCTGGGAGAATCTGAGAGTAACTGATGATACCTGGGAGAATCTGGGAGAATCTGAGAGTTTCTTCTTTATGTTTTACCTTCTATTCAAACTTTAATCTCATTCTGATAAAAACATATCCCGTGTCATGGGGATTTAGATCACCAATGCCAGGTTAAGATTGGAATGTGCCAGGAATATTTTTTAGAGTAAATTATTAAAGAGTTAAGTCTGGAGGTTTAAGCGGAAAAAAATAATACTAAATTTGGAGTAAAAAAAAGATAATCAATTTCCTGTCTGGGAAACGAAAAAGATATTAAAATTTTACACCTCTAAACAAAGGAAAATGAAAAAGACTTAAAATAGGACGGTCAGTAAAAGTGGGTTATTCTTGGTGGCTATTTTTGTTTCTTGGTTTGAAATATGCTTTCATTCATACACACAGGTAAAAAGAGATAACGACCGTCTTATTTACAAGGATAACAATTGTTCCTGTCCTATAACGGGAACCCTGTCTACCAGCTGGTCGTTGGCAAAACATCTTTGAGCTTCGTTGATCTTTCCCAGATTATCGTTAACCATTTGCAGCTGGGTCGACTGGAATAATGAGGAAATGTGCGTAATCACGGTATTAAGACTTTGTCCACGACTATCATTTGTTCCGTGTTACCACGCAAAAGTCGTCATGTAAAGATTTCGACGCCCAGCCGACTGTGTTACCAGTGGCCTTTCTGGGAAACATCAGGTGAGGGGCCGAGTAGGGACCGCAACATTTTCTAGGGGCGCCACAGAACATTCTTTCACTATGTGATATGTGTGTGTGTGTGGGGGAAGGGGGGGAGGCCACCCCCCAGGAGAAACGACACTATGTGTGTGTTACAGCTATACTCATGATGCATTAGAATATTTGAGACTAGTATTCATACACCGATTGATTTTAAGTTAAAATTCAGTATAAATATGGTAATTGGTAGAACTTATGTTGAAGAAGGAAAACCAATACTTGAGGACTAATTTATCGCAGTGTTGATATTCACAGATTCATTCATATATCGATGATATTCATTTCTACTGTTTACTCTCACATTCTGGACTAATTAGGCTAACAGATCGCCCCGCTTTCATTTCCCTTTATCAATTGATGTAGAAACACTAAGGGCTCTTCTACACTAGAACCAATTTTCAGATTTGTTGACTTTGTAACCATAAGGGAAGGTCACACGGTGCTTGATATTGAGATAGAGATCCTTGATTTCAACAGATTTAATTGGCAATGACCGGTTTAAAAATGTGACATTATAAAATTATTTGAATGGTAAACAAGGCAATGTCCCAAAAATCATACCCCGTCGAAATTAGAGCATAACCTGTAGACTTATAGCTAATCCAATAGAGCAATACTTGTAAGGTTAGAGCAATGCTTGTAGAGCTAAGAACAATGCTTGTAGAGCTAAGAGCAATGCTTGTAGAGCTAAGAGCAATACTTGTAGAGCTAAGAACAATGCTTGTAGAGCTTAGAGCAATGCTTGTAGAGCTTAGAGTAATGCTTGTAGAGCTATGACCGATGCTTGTGGAGCTACGAGCAATGCTTGTAGAGCTAAGAGCAATACTTGTAGAGCTAAGAGCAATGCTTGTAGAGCTAAGAACAATGCTTGTATAGCTAAGAGCAATGCTTGTAGAGCTAAGAACAATGCTTGTAGAGCTATGACCGATGCTTGTGGAGCTAAGAGCAATGCTTGTAGAGCTAAGAGCAATACTTGTAGAGCTAAGAGCAATGCTTGTAGAGCTAAGAACAATGCTTGTATAGCTAAGAGCAATGCTTGTAGAGCTAAGAGCAATACTTGTAGATCTTAGAGCAATGCTTGTAGAGCTAAGAGCAATGCTTGAAAAGCTAAGAGCAATACTTGTAGATCTTAGAACAATGCTTGTATAGCTAAGAGCAATGCTTGTAGAGCTAAGAGCAATGCTTGTAGATCTTAGAACAATGCTTGTGGAGCTAAGAGCAATACTTGTAGAGTTAAGAGCAATACTTGTACAGCTAAGAGCAATACTTGTAGAGCTAAGAGCAATACTTGTAGAGCTAAGAGCAGTGGTTGTAGAGCTAAGAGCAATGGTTGTAGAGCTAAGAGCAATGGTTGTACAGCTAAGAGCAATGGTTGTAGAGCTAAGAGCAATGCTTGTAGAGCTAAGAGCAATGGTTGTAGAGCTAAGAGCAATGGTTGTAGAGCTAAGAGCAATGGTTGTAGAGCTAAGACCAATGGTTGTAGAGCTAAGAGCAATAGTTGTAGAGTTAAGACCAATGCTTGTAGAGTTAAGAGCAATGGTTGTAGAGCTAATAGCAATGCTTGTAGAGTTAAGACCGATGCTTGTGGAGCTAAGAGCAATGCTTGTAGAGCTAGACCGATGCTGTGA